TATACGAACCCACACGATCTCTTCGATCGTCTGGAGAGGCCCTGCTCACGCTCCCACCTGCATCACAAGCACGATTGGTGGGGACGAGAGAGAGGGCCTTTTCGGTGGTGGCCCCTCGACTCTGGAACTCACTTCCTAAGGACATCAGGCATGCCCCAACTCTGGCAGTCTTTAAGAGGAGCTTGAAGACGTGGTTGTTCCAGTGTGCCTTCCCAGAATAATGATCCCATAGCACTTTGTCCTCTAAAGCACTTTATATATTTAGGTCTGCTCGTATGTTCCCACAAACTGCCCTATCACTTTTTCGTCCATGTCCAGCATTATTTTTAATTTTTTAATTTTAATTACATTTGGCCTACCCATAGTTTTTAAAGTGTGTTGTCCTATTGATATTGTATGTGTTATTGGTTTATTGTTTTGTTATTTTAAATTGCTTGTATTATTATTGTTATTGCTTGTATTGTTGTATTTTGGGCTCAGCCTCATGTAAGCCGCACCGAGTCTCTTGGGGAGATGGTAGCGAGGTACAAATAAAGTGTTATTATTATTATTATAGTACTAGCCGTCCCCTGTCACGCGTTGCTGTGGCCCAGTCTGGTGATCTGGAAAATAAAGTAATGTGAAAGTGTGGGTTTCCTAATATAAGTAATTTCTTTATGCTTGTGGGTATTCTTGTTGTTTCTTTGTCAGTGTTGATGTGTAGATTGTCTGGTTTGCCTACTCTGGAATATGGAACATATAATTGTCCTTCCTTAGGAGTCCCTTTCAAATCTATGATACTATATTGTGTGTGTGTGTGTGAATCATATCTATCTATCTATCTATCTATCTATCTATCTATCTATCTATCTAACTATATCTATGGATGGCTCTTTGTCAGGAGGGCTTTGATTACGTTTTCTTGCCCTGGTGAAGAGACTTGGACTGGATGGCCTTAAGTATTTTCTCTTGGTCATGGTGGTTCTGTGTGGGAAATTTGTCCCAATTCTGTCATTTGTGGGGTTCAGACTGGTAGATGAACTATAAATCCCAGCAACTACAACTCCTAAATGTCATGGTCTATTTCCCCCAAACTCCATCTGTGTTCATATTTGCGCATATGGAATATGCGTGCCAAGTTCGGTCCAGATTCATCACTGTGTGAGTCCACAGTGCTCTCTGGATGTAGGTGAACTACAACTCCCAAACTCAAGGTCAATGCCCACCAAACCCTTCTAGTTTTCTGTTGGTCATGGGAGTCCTGTGTGCCAAGTTTGGTTCAATTCCATCGTTGGTGGGGTTCAGAATGCTCTTTGATTATAGGTGAACTATAAATCCCAGCAACTACAACTCCCAAATGATAAAATCATAAATTTTTGAGTGATGGTCACTCCTTGTGTAGTGAGATGTTTTGTTGCCAAATTTGGTGTGATTTTGTGCATTGGTTCTTTTGTTTTTAAGGTACTCATTATGCACAGAGCATTTATATATATATATATATATATATATATATATTTAATGTTTTTAACTGTATGTAATTATTGGATTTTATTATGTATTTTATTATGTGCACATGGAGGCATTGAATTGTTGCCAGCTGGAAGTCGCCCGAGGGCTGCCCCCCCCCCCAGGTTGAGAAGGGCAGGGAACAAATATCTGAAATAAATAATAAAAATAATTCTTAGCTGCTGCTGCTCAATTCAATATCCTCAGTGATCCAGTATCAGCTAGTAATTGGTGCAGGGGCCATGTCTCTAGCAGCAGCGCCACATATATTGTTGTAAGAGAATGTGGATAGTGGTGCTTTGTACAGAATCTTGTTTTCTGTCACTGCTTCCTCCCAATGACTGTTCCACTTCCGTGATTTTGAAATTTGGGAGTTTCCCATAAGGGGGTGATCTGCCTGTGCCATTCGCCATGATGAATTTGGCTGATCTTGCTCCATGTGCATCCCACTTAGAGCTGCATGTTCAGTGGAAGAAGAGATTTTTAATGAAACAGGCTAGCCTTGTATTTGCCTTGTGTAGAGCAGATGTGAAACAAGAGAAGATGAGCTCAGCTATGTCCTCAGATTAGGGTGAGCAAAGCGCAGCCCTGAAGTTCCTAGCCCCTCCATTGGCTGCTTCCATGAGCCTTGCCACCTCCAGACCACTCCCTCTGTTAATTATTATTTATTTTATTTATTTATTATTTGCTTTATTTGTATATAATTGCGCTAATCCCCTTCTTGCTCTTAATGCTGAACCCAAGGCACAGAGTTAAAAAAATTTATTTTAAAAAACTATTAGTAGAAAAATTATTGAACAAGGAAAACAAGCTGGGTAGATGCGGGGAATGCCGTGGATGTAGCGTACCTGGATTTCAGTAAGGCCTTCGACAAGGTCCCTCATGACATTCTGGCAAGGAAATTCTGCCAATGTGGGCTAGGCAAAACTATGGTGAGGTGGATCTGTAATTGGTTAAATGGAGGAACCCAGAGGGTGCTCACCAATGCTTCCTCTTCATCCTGGAAAGAAGTGACGAGTGGAGTGCCGCAGGGTTCCGTCCTGGGCCCGGTCCTGTTCAACATCTTTATTAATGACTTAGATGAAGGGCTAGAAGGCATGATCATCAAGTTTGCAGATGACACCAAATTGGGAGGGAGAGCCAATAGTCCAGAGGACAGGAGCAGGATTCAAAACGATCTTGACAGATTAGAGAGATGGGCCAAAACTAACAAAATGAAGTTCAACAGGGACAAATGCAAGATACTCCACTTAGGCAGAAAAAACGAAAAGCAAAAATACAGAATTTGGGACAATGCCTGGCTCAAGAGCAGTACGTGTGAAAAAGATCTTGGAGTCCTCGTGGACAGCAAGTTAAACATGAGCCAACAATGTGATGTGGCGGCAAAAAAAGCCAATGGGATTTTGGCCTGCATCAATAGGAGCATAGTGTCTAGCTCTAGGGAAGTAATGCTCCCCCTCTATTCTGCTCTGGTTAGACCACACCTGGAATATTGTGACCAATTCTGGGCACCACAATTAAGAGAAATATTGACAAGCTGGAATGTGTCCAGAGGAGGGCGACTAAAATGATATAGGGTCTGGAGAACAAGCCCTATGAGGAGCGGCTTAAGGAGCTGGGCATGTTTAGCCTGAAGAAGAGAAGGCTGAGAGGAGATATGATAGCCATGTATAAATATGTGAGAGGAAGCCACAGGGAGGAGGGAGCAAGCTTGTTTTCTGCTTCCTTGGAGACTAGGACGCGGAACAATGGCTTCAAACTACAAGAAAGCATTTTAAACCCACAGATGTTTCCAAACAGTTTGCAAGGCACACATTGAGTGTGTTGGGGTAATATAAATAGGATGTAATCATGACCAGGTATCACTACAAGTAGATCTGACATCTCAAGGAATTGTCACAACTGGGGTATTAGTTTTCACTGTGCAAATTTATTTATTTTATTTATTTACAGTTTTTATATTCCGCCCTTCTCACCCCGCAGGGGACTCAGGGCGGATTACAGTATACACATATATGGCAAACATTCAATGCCAGTTTGACAAACAACATATACAGACAATACACAGTGGCTATTTAACTTTTTTTGGCCGCCAGGGGAGCTGCTGCTTTCATCGTCCACCAGCGACACCGATGAAGTTCTCCGCATTCCACATTCCCCGGAGTCTTTTTTTATGGCCTCATAAATTAGTTAATTTAGCCTCCCACACAAGGTGGTACCTTATTTTCCTACTTGACAGATGCAACTGTCTTTCGGGTTGCAAAGGTGGACAACAGGCTACACAATAGCTGGACACCCACTCCAACCCGGGCTGGCTTCGAACTCATGACCTTTTGGTCAGAGTGATCTTAATGCAGCTGACACTCAGCCAGCTGCGCCACAATCCCAGTGCTAAACATTTCATGAATGGCAATTTCCTTCTTAAGAAGGTTGCAGGGAAACATTTTCCATACTGTGGTGGTGTGATAGCCATCAATTGAGTATCTAATATTGCTGAAAATTGGTTGTTACGAATCATTTTCCATTTAATTAAACATTTTGTCATATTTGAAATTAATAGGGTGATTAGTTGTTTGAGTCTGTATATTAGCATTTCCCCTGAAAAATTATTTTGATTCAAGCAACTTCTTGAAATACCTCAAAAAATGTTCATTTTTTATCTACTAGTTTGGGGACCCGGCGCTGCCTGGGTTATTTGAGATAGACATTGTTTGTCTGTTCTGTAGTTTTAGTCTAGATCCAATGTCTGGTGGTTCAGTGGGTGCAGGTAAACTACAACTCTCATATGCAAGTCCCATTGTCTATGGTCCATCCTCCTCCACACTGCAGCAGAATGTAGAGTGGGTCATGGGGGCTCTGTGTGCCAAGTTTGGTCTTGATCGGTCATTGGATGAGAGTCGCAGTGGTTTCAGCAAGTGTGCGAAGGTACTGGAATTCCCATCATCCATGGTCCATCCCCCTTAGAACTGCATCAGGATGTAGAGTGGGTCATGAGTACTCTGTGTGCCAAGTTTGGGCCTGGTCTGTGATTTGTAGGGGCTGCAGTGTTCTGTGGAAAGGGAATTTCAGAATTAGATTCTAGATCCAGAATTTTAGAATCTTCAGGCTGGCCTATCAGAAACCATATGCAAATGATACCACTGTGGCAACCAATCAGAATGTTAGAATGAGGCTGGCCAGTCAGAGACTATATGCAAATACTACCACAGTGGCAGCCAATCAGAAAGCTGGCACATACATTTCCGTCCTTCCGCCCTTCCGTCCTCCGCATACATACAAGCAAACATTCTCTTTTATTATATAGATAGATAGATATAGATTTGACCCTACCGGTCCTATTATGCAGCAAAGCTGGAAGGATTAAGGGGAGCAGACGAAGGCTGGAACTTATATGCGATATAATTCATGTCAGCCCTAGGGAATGGAGTGAGGAATAAATATATGGTTCAGTTTGTGGATTTTCTTCAAGTTATGTATTCATTCATACTTTCTCTCTTTCTTTTCCTCTTTTGCAGGAACCTTGTAAAAAAGCATCTCCCCAAGAGAACTACACGAGAAGATCCAGAGTCAAAGTAGGAAGCTTGATTTGATCACACATATATTAATTTGGCTGTTTCCGAACTTTCTTTTAACAAAGCCTGGGCAAACTATTGGCTCTTCAGTGTTAGTGATTCAAACAATTTAGTCAGGAAGTGGCCTATAGGAAGTGGTTATGTCATGGATTAAGATATATTGCCCTAAGCAGTGTGTGTTGATGGTTTTGATATTTTTTTTTGTCATGTCAGGAGTGACTTGAGAAATTGCAAGTCGCTTCTGGTGTGAGAGAATTGGCCGTCTGCAAGGATGTTGCCCAGGGGATGCCTGGATGTTTTTGATGTTTTATCATCCTTGTGGGAGGCTTCTCTCATGTCCCTGCATGAGGAGCTGGAGCTGATAGAGGGAGCTCATCCACTCTCTCCCCAGATTCGAACCTGCGACCTGTCGGTCTTCAGTCCTGCCGGCACAGGGGTTTAATTTATTTTTTATTTCAGTTGCTTCTACCCCGCCCTTCTCACCCCGGAGGGGACTCAGGGCGGCTTACAAAAGCAAGGCACAATTCGATGCCCGTATCACATAACAGCAATAAGACAAATAACATCAGTTAACAGAAAACCGCAATTCTAGCAATAACATCAATTAACAGAAACAATAATTATCGTAAGGCAAAAACAACCATAAAACCAGTAAAAAGCAATAAAACCAATACAAACCATTCTTCTCATTGACGGTCAGCGTTTCGCAATCTCATAGTTCAAAGTCCAATCCACAATTGTCAGTCCTTTCAGTCCTATCCATCTGGTTGTCCATTTCTAGTTGTCAGATTGCCCAAAGGCCTGGTCCCACAACCACATCTTTACCTTCCTCCTGAAGGAGAGGAGGGATGTTGATGCCCTAATTTCCCCTGGGAGTGAGTTCCACAGGTGAGGGGCCACCACTGAGAAGGCCCTGCTCCTCGTCCCCACCAGCCTCACTTGTGATAGCGGTGGGGTCGAGAGCAGGGCCTCCCCAGATGATCTCAAATTCCGGGGTGGGACGTAGAGGGAGATACGTTCGGACAGATACACTGGACCGGAACTGTAAAGGGTTTTGTAGGTCAAAACCAGCACCTTGAATTGTGCTCGGAACTGAACCGGCAGCCAGTGGAGCTGACACAGCACGGGGGTGGTGTGCTCCCTGTATGTCGCTCCAGTGAGCAATCTGGCTGCCGCTCGCTGGACCAGTTGAAGTTTCCGAACAGTCTTCAAGGGCAACCCCACGTAGAGTGCGTTGCAGTAGTCTATTCGGGATGTAACAAGAGCGTGGACCACTGTGGCCAGATCAGACTTCCCAAGGTACGGGCGCAACTGGTGCACAAGTTTTAATTGCAAAAGCTCTCCCAGCCACCGCTGAAACCTGGGGTTCCAGGCTCAACGATGAGTCCAGGATCACTCCCAAGCTGCGAACCTGTGTCTTCAGGGGGAGTGTGACCCCGTCCAGCACAGGCTGTAACCCTATGCCCTGTTCAGCCTTGCGACTGACCAGTAGAACCTCTGTCTTGTCTGGATTCAGTTTCAATTTGTTAGCTCTCACTGCGCCACCAGGGACTCCGATGTTTCTGCTAGTATAGCCCTATTCTCAGTATCCTGGGTATCATTTAGTATTGAGCAAGTGAAAACTGGAGGGGGTACCTTTAATGGTTGACTAGAAGATGGAATTAAGCAGGTGTTACCTGTCACTCAACCAGGGAACAAGCAGTATCCGCTGAAACTCTGGTTCCTCTTCATACTTTTGAAACTTAATAAATATGCAGGAAGTCATTTCTGGTTGACCAACCCTTATCCAAAATGCTTGGTATCCAAATTGTTTTGAATTTTGATTTTAAAACATTTTTGGAATACCTGTATTTGCATAATGGTACAGGCAGTGCCCAAGTTATGAACAAGATCAGGCACAAAGATTGTCCATTCCATGGTCTCCAGATTATAGACTGTAGTTCTCATTGGCCCTAGCCACTGTAACCATGGAAAAGGGAGTTTCCATTCAAGATCTGGACATATGTTACAAAATGAGGTACAAAAATGAGGTTTTTGTATTTCAGTACGTTTCTGTTGACTGTATAAATTTGATTTCTGACACCTAGAAAGATTGGCGGGGGGAGGATCTGACAATAATATGTTTGAATTGACTATTTTTGGCCCAGAATTAGTTAAGTCAAAAGTTTTATTGTCAGAAGAAGTAATTCAAATCAGTTAGATAATAATGACTTTCCTCGTTTTGTTGTGGGCAGGGAATCCCCTCCATATGCCTTTGTGATGACTAAGCTTTCTGGTAACTACAGCAAGAAATTTAAAAGAACTAAGTGTCGAACTATGTGATTGCTGTCAATTATTCATTTTGCTAGATCTGTTCCTATCTGCCAAGTCATCTGATGAGAGAGCCAGGATTTTCTTTCTAGTGTTCCAGAGGGACCTGTACCATCGTTGAGCTTTTTGACTACAATTTTCGTTTCTTTCTACTCTGTCACAAAGTAGAAGTGAGCTGTGCTGTCGATGTCATAGAAAGCACGCTGATACAATGGGCCCAGCTTATCTGCAAAGGCTCAGTTCTGGAACCCATTACTGATACAAAAAGGCATACAAACATGTCCTGTATTATTACAGCATGTCTGTCTTCACATCACCACCATTTACTAATATGGGACATGATGATCTACGGTTGATGAAAATCACAGATCTGGATCCCGCTGATCCAGAGGTCTCACTATATTTGCAGAATGTTATAGCAGTATCTTGTAGGCATGGTTTGGTCCTCAAAGAATCTTCGTAATTCGGAATAAATTCGGAAAAAAATTACCTTTTTGAAGCAATTTTGACCTTTTTAGGAAACTGGAAGTCTCTTTGCCTTTCCAAAGCTAGTCTCGCCATTTTTCTTCTGACTCAGGAAGTGAGTCAGAAATGATTCTGGTCCCTGGCCTTGGCTCAAGCCAGAGAAGCCAGTTTTAAACCTGAAAAGGCTGAATTTCCTCCCCCCCCCCCACTTCTGCCTCAAGCCAGAGAAGCTAGTTTTAAACCAGGGAAGGCTGAATTTCCTCCCTTTGCTTTCCCCGATTCTGCCTCAAGCCAGAGAAGCCAGTTTTAAACCAGGGAAGGCTGAATTTCCTCCCTTTTCTTTCTCCAGCTAGAGAAGCCAGTTTTAAACCGGGAAATTTCCTCCCTTTGCTTTCCCCACTTCTGCCTCAAGCCAGAGAAGCCAGTTTTAAACCGGGGAAGGCTGAATTTCCTCCCTTTGCTTTCCCCGCTTCTGCCTCAAGCCAGAGAATACAGTTTTAAACCGGGGAAGGCTGAATTTCCTCCATTTGCTTTCCCCACTTCTGCCTCAAGCCAGAGAATCCAGTTTTAAACCAGGGAATTTCCTTTTCTTTCCCTGATTCTGCCTCAAGCCAGAGAAGCTAGTTTTAAACCTGGGAAGGCTSAATTTGCTCCCTTTGCTTTCCCCASTTCTGCCCCAAGCCAGAGAAGCCAGTTTTAAAKCGGAGAAGGCTAAATTTCCTCCTCTTGCTTTTTCCCCACTCTTGGAGTAAAACAACTACTTTCAAAGTAAAGAACACCCAATGAAACAAGAAATAACACTTTCAAACCATTAACGAAAGGATTCAGAAGTCTCGGAAGTTTCAAAAAGTTTTGAACAGTTTTTTTCTGTGAAAATCAGAATTAGAATCGAACCACCAGTGCCCCCTACATCCCCCTACATTTCTCAAACAAGCCTAGTATCTTTTAACTTAGCCTATTCCACTTTTTAGTCCCTAAGGGGCAAGCATCAGCAATGACAAGAGATGGAGATATCACTACAGTTAAGGTTCTAATGGCAAGCACAGGGACAACAGTGTCTAAGCATTGAGGGAAACACTGGTTTAAAACCCCAGTATTGTGCTTGAGGGGTGAGGAAAATGGAGTCATTATCCCACCTCTGTATGGGACGAGGATGTGAGTGGCAGTGGAAGAGGCAGTAGATCCTTGTGTCTCACATCAAGAGTATAATCACAAGCATTTCCTGTTTTTTTTCTTTCACATTGCAGATTCTGTCAATACCAGGCCTTCCTTCAGGTGGTGAAAGAGCTAAACGACTTTGCCGGCCAGCGAGAGATCGTTGCAGAGAACCTTCTGACACGGATCTGCGTGGAGCTTGCCAAGTATTCACAGGAGCTCAAGCAGGAGAGGAAACTGGTAAAGAAATCCTAAGTTGTGCCAAATAACAATGCATCAAGGTTGTTAAGATCTTCTGGAGGGGCCCTGCTCTCGGTCCCACCTTCTTCGCAATCGCGTTTGGTGGGGACGAGGGACAGGGCCTTCTCGGTGGTGGCCCCTCAGCTCTGGAACTCTCTCCCATTGGAGATTAGATCTGCCCCTTTCAGAAAGCTGGTAAAATCTTGGCTTTGGAATATAGCATTTGCAGAATGATGATTGAGTCAATAACGGCTGACCACACTGGCGGATGGTGATGAATTTGTGATTTTACTCTGACGACCTGGCTTTTGTAATTGTATGATCTGTATTTTAATGTATTAATGTATTATGATGCTATTATGTTTATTCTATGTGTGTATGAATTTTCTGCTGTTAGCCGGCCTGAGTCCCTCTTCGGAGGTCGAGAAGACCGGGTTATAAAAGCTCTAAATAATGAATAAATAATAATAGCTACAAAATATCCAGAGTGAAGTCAGCTGGTGAGTCAGGAACGAATTGGGTCCTGATCACTTTGGCCTTGGCTTTAATGAACCAAACTGTTAAAGTGTTCCTCTACATATTTCAATGCTACCCCCATTCTCACCGGACAACCAACAGTTTGGAGATGTATTTGTGCCAGAGCTGGCATTCATATTGTGATGTAGAATCATAGAATAATAGAGTTGGGGGATCACGTCCAACTTTTCATGCTGACGGATGAGAGCTGGGGGGCGACGAGTAGTGTA